CTATCGCTCAATGTCTATGTTCGCCTATCCGCGGTCAAACTCCTTTCGAACTTTCTATATTAACGCCCTCTCTAGCCGGCCAAACATATTGAGCTTATCGCGTGCGAGAGTATCACGTCGCGATCGCATTTGTTCACTCGGGTCATAGATGCAAATTTTAGTTTACTCTTCCAATCGTCGGACCGCTTCGACATACTTAGGATGTTCACGGATCGATGCTCGTTGCTCGGTTATTAGGTGTTAAGGACGCCTCGTGTCGATCCACCTGCTCATGCGGGTGATTACACGCATCAGAGATTTGTTAGATTCGCGGCCGTTCATCATACTTTGCATGTCCGTATCAACGTGTCGCGGAAGGTAATGATTGAGGAAGGTACGGGTATCCGCGTGCTTCATGATTAGATTCTACTATGCTTCGCTGACCGCGTCACTATTATTCAACATCTTTCTACCACCATAGCGCATACGATGCGCAAACATTGAATAAAGCCAACTATGAATCTCTCTAAGATTCCTTAGTCGAGCGGACATAGTGACATCGACCATGGGTTGATCCTACCGAAGAATCGGACGCCCGTTGACGACTTCTGTCTTGCAAAAGATATAACGATCCTCGACCTCGGGTTTCAAGGGGAGTGGCATCTGCTGGCGACCACCTTGAACAAACAGACTTCGAAGTTTCTCTATAGAAGAAAGGGCTGGAGATTTAAAAGCTTGTAGCCAGAAGAGGATACCAAAGATGAATACATGCGGGCTGAAGATAAGAGAGGGGTCGTCGATGATTTTAGGAAATGCAAAAGTATTGCTAGAAAAAAAAAAAAGAATCAACCGCCGAGCCTTCAGGATTAGGGAGGAATGTATACCTACATGGCTTCAGACCCGAGGAACCGCTTCGTGTGCTCTAACCTGATCTCTACTAGAAGCACAGGAGGGCCACCGTGAGGATCCTTCTGTATAGAGAACTGCAGATGCTTGAGCTGTAACGAAAGCAGCGCACTCAGTCGATTCACGGTGTAGATGCCAATCATGCTAAAGAGACACATTTGAATACGCTCGTATCCAAAATGAAATCGCCTTTCCTGGGTTCGAAGAATGGTCTCATTCAATTCGGTCAGATCTTGTACATAGACTAGTTCTTTGCCTCGCTCTTGTTGATTGAGCCCGAATTTGTTGATCAGTTTCCGAATTCCCTAGGTTTCGTTAGCTCCGAATGTCGTAAGAGGAGGACGTATAGCTTACTACATTAATCTCTTCGCTATCTTCAGGGCTGATCCTGGTACGGGTTATTCTTCGAAAGTAGCCTCAGAAACTCTTCCAGTCGGCTTTGAGGGCGCTAGCTTTGTTTATTCCCTTCAAATGCCTACCATCTTGGCCATACTTAAGTTTCAGGCAGTAGTTAAGAAACCGATGTACATCATTGGGAGTGACCTAACGAAGAGCCTCCGTCGGGTCATTCTATTTCGAAAGCGAATCAGGGCTTTTAGCCTTCACTCGGCAGTACCTAGTTATGTCAGCACGCATCAGAAGGCAAGCTTTTGAAGGTTCGCCCACTTCTACCAGCGTTGCTCAATTCGAACCCCGCGAACCTTAGTTTTCTCAGAACGCCCATAGTCAAGAGGAATGTTTGCAATGTCCTCGTCAGTGTCGTCATCGGGATCGTCACTGAAATCTAGTAAATTCCTAGAGCGAACGGGACCACGCACGGAGGGTTTAGAGCTACGTGAGACTCCGTCATAGTGTTTAGGAGACCGTGAAGGCTCGGGTGAAGTCTGAGTTGTCGAAACTGGGGCTTTATCGGCGTCCGATTTATCGCTATCGCTATAGTCCGGCCGAAAAGACACGCGGGATATGTCACTATCATCCTCTAGTGCTTGGTCCGACAATTCGACATCAGAGTACGTAGGAGACATACTTGGATCGGCGTGTTAGTAGAAGATGCACAGCCCGGTAGACAGGGGGCACAGGATTATCGTTCAAAGTGCAAGAGAACGCCCCTTAGCGGGCAAGGAAAAGAGCGCGAGGCGGAAGCGTGAAGGAGAACGAGGGAGCCTAGGAAGGAAAAGATGAAGGCGAACGAGGGAGAGCAGGACGACGGCAGTGGGCGGTTTTATGGCCGGTGACCACAAGGCCGCATAGCCAATGAGTGCTGGATAAAGTGTGGCCATTTTTGGCGCCGCGAAAGACAAGGGAGCGACGTGGTGGGTGCGGAGGGAATAATCACCCTGGAGGGTGAGTAGAAGGCCAGGCAGGTGGGCCGACGGCTGGGCATCGATCGTTACGCCTCCCGTTACAGGGGACCGAGGGTGGGGTGCGTGGTCGTGGCTGGATAGGTGCGTGTGTGGAGGGAGTGGTGCCGGAGAGGCCATTTTCGGCCACGAAAGGAGCCAGTTTCGGCTGCCCCGGCACAAATAGTAATTGTTTAGGTGGTAGAATCGCCTTACGCTATATGAGTATCCCTCACACTAAGAGACCGTAGCTGCAATAGAGGCTAATGGAATGGGACGAGATATTTAGTCTAATTAGTGATACTAAGGAAGATAATGAGGATTAGGCATATAAGGTATAGCCTCCTAATGTGCAGTTCCTTATATAGTCTTTTACGATAATTTTTAACGTTAAAGATCGAGAGGCTATAAATATGGACGATAACGACGATATAAGCCTTCCTTTCCCTAATATATAGTAGCGTATATCTGTAGAACGTAGAAGCGTTCAAAGCTACTTAACGGCTATGTACTTGGAGCTTAACAATTAGTATACTATTATTCTATTTAATAATAGTTTGTATGATAAGGAAAGTGGTTTTCTCCAAATTTAATATCTCTCTATATTGAAAGTTATGGAAATATACACGGAGAACCTCCCTGATTTTACATAATTTGTGCAAAAGTAAGTAAGACACGTTTTCTAGCTATTTGTCCTTTTTGAGGACATTAAGGGTCACCCGTGGGTAGGCGGGTAGGTGCCAGGTCTAGGTGGAATGGACGAATACAGCCAGCATGGGAGCTAATGATCTCACCAAGGCACTACGAGGTCAAAAACATCAGGCATTCGTCGAAATGCTTGGGATAATGGCATTCAACGCATCATATAAGAGCAAAAATTGCATAAGTTCCAGCCCAAATGGGAATTACAGTGTGCAGTTGAGCACTAAGGGGGTGTGTCCGGATCCCACCCATGGTGGACCCATGTATAAAAGTTTCGTACAGCACTAAACTGCTTTTGTTTATGACATTCTTGACATTGTGCGTTGATTTCTCTTATTATACGTTCTGTACTATAAAAGGGGTAGCTAAATTATATTCAGAATGTCAGACATCTTCTATGTTGATGGTTTTGACCACATTCCAGCATTACACTACTAGGTAATGAGTGGCCGATCACTTATCCGCTAGTGCTCGACAGCTGTTCTTCTTTCCTTTCCTCTTTCCTTTCCTCTTTCCTTCTCCAACTTGGAACTGTCGTCCATAGCACTCATATTTAATACTTTCATCGTTTTCTCTTCTGATCTGGCTGCCAGGTCCCAAATAGCTAGGAATTCAACTAGTAGTTTAGGAATTCGCCTAGTAGTCAGGAATTCGCCTGATTCCTTAGAGATTCCTACAATTCCCTACCCCTGGTCGTTTCGTCGCTTCTCACCGGTGGGGGTCCAGCTGACAGTCCCCAGGAATTCGCTGAGCGTATCCTACCCCATGGGGGTAGGAACAATGGGCCCTGGATACCAGTCGGGCGGCCAGTAGGAATCAGGCAAAAAAGTGGGGCGCGACCCCAATGGGATTAGAGGGCTTGCTTCCCGAGCGTGGTACCATTACAAATAGTCGGGCAACGCGTCTGTAAATTTAGTATGTTATGGAGCAATAGTTCATCTATGCGCAAACTTAATTTCAGCCCTAGTTTCCTAATGGAAGGGGTGGATCTAGGGATGGGAAGTTATCTAGTTAGTTCCAAAGTATCGGGGTGTGGATCTTAGGGCTTAGGGAGCTGTTAGGGAGGATTTACGCTTTTGTTTTGCAAAAATTGGACAGGCCTAGAGACATCGGTCTTAGCGAGCAGGGTACGAGCAACTAGGTGCCCTCGCCGGTTTCATGCCTCTGAGCCCACCTCTTCCAAAGTCTGCCTAACCTTTCAGCGGCAAATGGTCGTTGGTGCCGAACGAGCTGCATAGGATGCGTGGTCAACCGTCTGTGTTGCAGCCTAATAGGCTAGAAAGTTCAGTCGGCGTTGCAATGTTATGCTGACTTGAGAAAGAATCCAATTGCATTGCCGACTTGGCACATTCTCGCCAGGCAGCACCATCGTCCACGCCCGAGAAGCTATAAGGCAGGCACGGAAAATGGAGATTGGCCTCGGATGGTCAGAGGGGTCCTTGATAACAAGATCAGCTGCAGTGATTAGTAGCTGTGATTAATTACATGACGTGCATTGCGACAAGATGTGCATTGTCACTCGCTACGAATATGAGACTTCGTTGCCAATTACTCTACTTTACCTGGTCTTCCTTGTGTATCTGTACCTTATCAACGCCCTTTGGGATGTTGCCATGCCACAAATACATTCCGTCGACGCCACGAAACCTTCCATGGAATGGATGGCTCTTGGACTCACGAGCTAACTAGGACCGCAGACCTCTCGTGGAATGGAACTTGTATGCGCGGCATGGGTCTACGCGTGGATTTCGTGGAGTGTTTTGCAACTGTACTTGGTGTCCCCCTTGTGTATATATAGGCTTGTCTACCTGTGGAAGGAGTTTTACAGGATGACATTTGGTGCGAATTTCCAACACTAAGGACACACTCATTACGCGACGCTTTGCTTTGCAAGTCCAAAAAATGTCCGCCAATATGGTAGCATCGATATTTTTGCCACGCACTCGGGCTACTCACAGCCAACGAAACGTCTTTCTCGCCCTCGTCATTTCGACGTTCTGTCGCAATGTTCATTCGAACCCAGAACACTACCGTGCTTCCTGGCCTGCCGCGGTTCAGGACCGTTGGGCAATGTTACGGGACGAGCGCGTATGGCAAAGTTACCCAACGGACACCAACATCCAGAAATGGGACAGCGACGGCGGTGTCCAATGCGGAGTGCCGGATGACAGCCAGCGAATGTGGTTTACTCAGGGCGGTTGTAGCATTGCAAGCCAAGACCTCACCTACGCCGACACGACCGGCAATGTCACTGTCATCCGCACGGCCGCAAAGGGAGAACTTGTCAAATTGACTTGCGAGGACGTGTATTGTCCGGTCCCAGCTCGACCCGATTGTTATGAACAGCCTGGTATCTGCTCGTCTGATGAGTGGTGCATGATCGACATCCACGAGAGATGGGGCCCATGGGCCATGGCCCGTGACGGATCCACTCCCCAATGGGAATACTGCTTCAGTGTCGCCGATTTCGTCGCGAACTCTACTGACGAGGCATTGATCTCCAGCTACAATGCTGATTGCGTTGCCAGCACTGTCGGCGACTACGGTATCAAACTTGGACCCAAGACGGAAGCCTGGAAACCTGTGAGGGGCAGGTGCGTTACATTCCGAAAGGTGGAGGAGAGCTGCATTGGAAATCCGCTCGAGTTTGGCCCTTTTGAACCCGACTTCGGTCTGAACTATGCCCGGGAACAAAATGGTTGGCCGTTTCCTCGCCCGCTCGTTTGCGGTCCCGGACTTACCTGCACTGGTGCTGAGTTTGAGGTCCGCCCCTCGACCTGCGTGGTCCAACGGCCCCTCGATACCTGCTTTGCTGGTCCGTGGTGGGATTCTACCCAGTGTCCGAGAACAGAATATGATGCCCCAAAAGGCGGCCTAACCATGGAGCAGACGGTGGAAGCTCTTCGCAGGGCTATCCTGTTGTATCCGGGCGAGATTGCCTCTGCCGGAGACTGCGCCTATTGGAATCGCACCAGCAACGTCGGCGTGAGTGTGCTCGCTACGCAGCATAGGATCTACAACATAGCCGCTGCCCTGTGGCCGACTCAACTCTTCGATGTAATACCTAGTTTCGACGAAGTTATGCAACTGATTCCGGATCCCAATATTTACGGAAGTCCCTCGGATTGCGTCGCCCAAGCCGACGTTCCTGGCTCGGACATCAACAAAGCTCTCGCCAACGCAGCCACGCTTTCCTCGCAACCTAACCAAGTGTGGTCGCTCGTTCATTTTCTGATGCACAACCAACAAGCTCCTCTGAGTCCTAAGCGTGTTGCTGCCTCACGAGCGCTCGCTGCTCACCTCTCGGAAAGCTTTTGGTGTGATGACTGTCGGGGCTTCTTCTCAGTTGGCGTTATCGAGGTATACGGACTCCCACCTCTGAGCTCAAATCCTGAAGATCATGCCCGATGGTGGTGGTACGGCCACAACGTCGCTTCAGAACACGTCGCCTCGACCCGGGGCGGCCATCCCTGGATCCATGAATTGGGGGAGCAAGGCGTTGCTTCGTTTCAAAACCCCTTCTTCATGACCTGGAAAGATGCTGTGGACATGTGGACATACAACAATTCCTAAACCAATCAGTGCTATTCATTTCGGAACCGCAGTTAATCTGCGATATAAGTCACAAAAATGTGCTATCATGAACGTGCCAGACGTGGTGGTCATCATGGGCAGAGGCGGTCGATCTGTACATGAAGGCCGCGTGGGTAAGCGTTGTCGGAAGCCAGATATAATGAATACTTGGGCGTCCTAAGCAGCCGTACCTTTGATCAGCAGCTCGAATCAATTACAACCGGAGAAGTAATAAATCAAGGCGCCTATCTATAGCTATAATGTTTGATGCAGGAATACGATTATGTAATTCGAGAATCCGGATCGTTCGCCCCTGGAGTTCAAGATGACAGCTCCAAGTTCCGCGTGTGTCGCCACACACAGAGCATTCCTGTGCTCCTATTGCATGCACGCCTTCTGCTTCTATTGTGCCACTTCTGATTACGTGCAATAACAATTGTGGTTTAGTCAACATACCAGCGTGAGGGACCATGGTGATTTAGTCTTGGATTGCCTCGTGCATTCGTGGGAAACTCACTAATCTCCATCCCCGCAATTATTGCATCACGTGATGTACACCAGACCCGTCTTGGCACGATACTCCCCTCAACCGGAATATTCTCTCGGTAATTTATGCTACCTATAGTCTTCGTAACTTTATGATGATCAGATGCATAGGCTGTCACACACATTCGGGGTATGTCAGCCGGGTAGATCTAATTCAACTCACAACGATCATAATCGAGAGTATATATCCGAACCAAATTTCCGGACAATGATTACAAAATTTATTAAGGTCATTGCTTCCGCACTTGAATTCAATGGGAGTGTTATGAGTTGCAAGTTCTCTTGCAAATCGAGACTCTCTATTACATAATTCAGCTCCTACAACCTGGACCACCTGTGAAAGGTCCGCTATTCCAATCTTCAACAATGTCCTTGTCCTCGACCGTGGGATCCCTCCGGTCAATGCTCCCCGCAGTCGTTGCGAATACCAGTCCAGGTGTTATCCTATCTGGAGCCTTTGGCTTAACCGTTAGTTGCATCTGGTTCCATTCTTTTTCTATTGTATGCTGAGTACAGCAGTCCCTGTGCGCATTTGTCGCCTGGATGAGCTATAACCTTTATTTTCACCCGCTTGCCTCTTTTCCTGGCCCAAAGCTCAATGCAGCAACGCCTTTTCCTCTATATCGCGCTATTTTAAAGGGACAATTGCCCCTGTACGCAGAAAAATTGCATGCCAAATATGGCGAGGTTGTACGCATTGCCCCGGGCGAAGTGACGATCATCAATCCGGATGCATGGAAAGACTCTACGCAATTCGCCCAGGTAAGGCGCAAAAGCCCAAAGATCAGCGCCATGTGTCGGTGGGGCCGAACCATATCCCCAGCATCTTACGAACAGATGACCAGACGCACACGAGATACCGTCGATCTCTCGCACACGGCTTCTCCGAGTCCAGTCTCCAGAAACAGGAAGTTATCGTTAAGGGCTACATGGATCTGTTGATCCAGCGGCTACACGAACTCTCAACCCCCGGAAGCACGGTAGTCGATATGACAAATTGGTATAATTATACGACGTTCGACATCATTGGTGATCTTGCCTTTGGTGAATCCTTCGGCTGTCTCGAGAATTCAAAGTACCACTTCTGGGTATCCGTCATCTTTAGCCACTTCCGAACCGCAGCATGGGCTAACATCATGCGCCGTCTGCCCTTCGGCCGATACCTGATGAAGTGGATTGTTCCGAAGAAAATACAAGAGAAAAAAGCACAGAACAAGATGACTCACGAAAAGGTTCAAGCCCGTATTAGTTCCGGAGACAATGGCCGGCCCGACTTCTTAAGCAACGTGCTCAAGCAGCCTGTCGACAAGGGCATGACTGAGGACGAGCTGGTTTCTAATTCCTACGTGCTAATAATCGCCGGCTCTGAGACCACCGCTACATTGCTATCCGGTGTGACATACTATATCCTCACCGTCCCTGGAGTTATGGATAAGTTGAAAGCAGAGATTCGAGGAGCTTTTGCGACAGAAGGGGAGATTACCTGGTCGGCGGTTAACCAGCTTCCGTATACGCTAGCCGTCTTGAATGAGGGTTTGCGGATGTATCCACCTGTTCCCTTCGGCTTCCCCCGCATGGTTGAGGGCAAGGGCGATTTTCTTTGCGGTCGATGGGACCCCGGAGGCGTAAGAGCACCGAACCCCCCATTCTCTTGGTTCTGTCGAGAAAACTTACCGTACAATGTTGCATATATCTATCGGAGTACCGATTTTGGCCGCCAGTCGGTCTGACGCAAACTTCCATAAGTCTAAAGAATTCATTCCTGAGAGATTCATGGGAGAGCCCGAATTTGAGTCCGATAAGAGGAACGCAGTGCAGCCATTCAGCGTGGGTCCGCGCAACTGCTTGGGTCGAAAGTGAGTTGATCGCAGCGCATTTTGATCCTGAGAATACCTGTTGAACCGTGATCATTGACGAATCTCCGATAGCCTGGCATATGCAGAAATGCGACTGATTCTGGCTCGTATGATCTGGAATTTTGATATGGAAATTGCTCCGGATTCCAGGAACTGGATTAACCAGGACGCGTATGTCGTGTGGGAGAAGCCAGCCCTGAACGTGAAATTGGCACCGGTAGCACATGTTCAACGTGGATGATGGCCTTGCGATTACATGGGTGAATTTATTGTTATGCTCAAAGACGTGGTGAAAGACAGTGGCTATGTGTGGAGACAATGCTTTCGTTTTTCTATTCCCCAACCACTAGATCATCATGAAGCCACTAACAGTTCTGGATTTTGCGCCTTTCTCGCAGCCTCCTGCCGTTCATGAAGAGCTTATAGTAAATGAATTATATAGTATGCGGTGGAAGCATGGCTCACATTTCTAGGGACTGGTAGTTAGGAGCAGCTAAAAAATAAAGTCGGATGCCTCGGCCAGGTGTTTGGATTATCCAACATAGCCGCGTTGAGTGGGTTGGTGGCCTTGGCATAGCTAACTTTATTTTTTGGATTATTCAACACAAAAATAGTGAATTATTCAGCAAGCATTCGACGTCTGTGCCGTCACGCATCAATGAAAATAATGTCAACCTGAAATCAACTTTGAACTGTGACGTGGCTTAAACCCGTACAGAACTACACTTATAGCGGAATTGTTAATCGAGCCCAAAGGATGGCAGATGCAAGCGACAATACCATACGGTTGAGCCAGGGGAGCCGTAAGCGAGGGCGCCCGCTACTCAATGACACCCAGCAGCGCACCCTGGTGAGTTTATGCTACTCCAAGAAGCTCGCCTAAACTCATCCTGTACAGAGACGGCGAGAACAGCTTCGCAGGGCACAGCAGGCATATCGCATTCGGAAAGACGACACAATCAGCAATTTGACAAACCGTGTGGAGGAGCTAGAAAGGGGAGCCCAAGAAATCAGCAAATCGTTTCTTAGTCTCAGCAAACAATTGCTAGACACAAAAGCCCCCGAAAATTATTCGCAAATTGCCTCGGCCTTGCATAAGGCGACCCGGCAATGCCTGGCTCTTGCGCAGGCGGCGCAAGCAGTACCCAGCGTTAGTGACGACAACGAAGCCTGTGAGAATGCGGCCGATTTTGTCAAGTGCTGGCGGATGGACCAATCAGACGACCATCAGCATATAGGACAACAAGAAGTGCATTGCGACTTGCCGTCAAAAGCCATCGAAACGCCCATAGATAATTCAGTTGATGGACCAACTCGATGGGTTCTTGGATCATCACTACCTCCAGACTCACCACTTGGTGACCCGAGAACAACGGAATTCAACAGCAACAGATATAACTTGGCATTGCCCTTTCCGTCTCCCCACGCGAGCTTGCCCCTTGTTACTCAGCCATTCATACACTCAAGCGAAGAAACGCAATTTATGCAGCTTTTGGTTCAACAGTGCTGCCTAACTGCATACGAGCTATTAGTCCGGCAGTCAGATATCCTAAGGATCCAGGAGGTATTTGGATTCATACCACCAGCTTCGAATCGAAACCAGATGGCACTTTGTCTCTACAACGCGTTCCAAAGTGAAGATACACAAAGTATTCAGCGTCAGGCTAAAGTGCTTACTTTCCTGCGCTCCGGGGAAGTTGACTTTCCAACAGAGCCAACTGACTCATTATCCAGGGCCTGGGGATACGCATTTGACGCCGAGACTGGTGCGGAGTGGTTGGATGTTCATGGGGTGCAAGAACTCCTGTCTAGGAAGGGGTTCCAGTTCCAAGAGAATACCTCTGCACTATCCCAGGAAACTAGTGTAAAGTTGGATTATTTTCCCTCACTGCACTTTGATGTGACCGCCTTCATTAAGGGTGAGACCCTGGGAAGTTGATACTGAACCATCGTGCGATCGCTGACAGTGTTTAGTCCTCTCCAGCAAAGCCATCTGCGTTTTTCCTGGACCGGCATTTAGGCGTGAGGTCGTTGAAAATGCACTGGATTTTGCGATTGCAGATTATTACGCCGTCCATCATACGCCTCGCCAAACCCCGCTCACGACCCAACCCGCCTGGGCGCATCGAAAAGCCGACCCAAGACCTAAACGGGTACCCCGTAGAACACACCAAGGCAAAAAAGGCTGACCAGTCGACTTGCATGAAATTATGCTGCAGTTTTCCGATCGCCCGGCGGATTTGCTTGGTTCCA